TAACACCAATGTTTGACCTACTCCTCAATCGTAACCTAGATTTTATTAACGTGTATAATACAAAAATAATAAAAACATAACAAAAACGCTATTTTGCTAAAATGTTTCATTTTTCAAAAACTCGGAAAACATAAGAAATGACTTTTTAAAACAAGTGTTAGAAGCACACTGGAAAAGTATATAATGTTTCAAATGTCTTAGAGTATTAAGAAATAAAACAGGTCTTGCTTTCATAGTATTCCGGTCAAAATAGACATTTCAAATAACGAAAATTCCGATAGAGCTAAATTTCGGTGGAGACCTTGGGTACACCATTAGAAATAAAGTGTCAAAAGTCCCCATCGATCCCATATGTGCTAAAAAAGTTTTTCGGTGTCAAAGGTCAAAATTTGAGGTTTTTTGGATTTTTTTCGAAAACGGTAAGTTTTATCAAAAAAGTAGCCCAGACAAAAATTATAGATCCTAAAATTATCTACAAAAATGGACCACATACTTTTTTTTTCTAAGAATGACCATTCCTGAGATATCGCGATTCTAATAGTTGAAGGAGTCACGTTCTACATGATAGGCATACATTTCCACATTACCTGTGAGGTAGTGCACTTTGGCGCGTTTTTTTTTAACGTGCTTTCCCCGGTAGGCCTACTCCACGAACTGTCATGACGAAATTTTCAGGGTTAATACCCTTTTAACTGCTTGATGATTATTGATATTGGTTATAGACTTTAACTGTAGTTGTGATTTCTTTTGATATTTTAATCTGATTCATACTCTTCAAAGTCTTCTTCTTTTTCTTCCTATTCTTCTTGCTGGATGTTCATAAATTGTTCAAATGAAGATGAATCACATGAATCTTCGTCTGTTGTATTCAATTGGACATTTAAGCAAGACTGGCTTTGGCAATGAGTACACGCTGAAGAACACAGTAACCCTACTCTTCTACAGCCACATTTAGCACTACAACCTTTTTTTGGAATTGCAAAAAATAGTGTTTAGAAGTTTTTCCGGAGCAGGTGGGAGTAAAATTTGAATCCGTTCCAAAGTATTATCTGTTAATTTCCAACCCCAGTCTTCTGGGTTCAGTTGATTTCCTAGCTATGTCTGAACTTGATAGTATGCTCGATACAAGTGTTGATTAGCAGAAGCCGATGTTGGAGGAAGACAAGATAGTTGTACTTGTTTCTTGTTTCGTGTATTTTTTACAAAAGTTTTTACAATAGAGTATGTCTCTATTGAGATGTTATTAAAGGCCATGCGAGTAGAGGGGATTGACTAAGGGACTGAGTTTGTTTTGAGTGTATATTCTCAGAATAGTATAGTTTATACATATAACAGACACAAATAGGCATTTTTACTTGTATTAAGTGCCTGACTATGTATATACGTGGCATATATGTGCATATCATGTAGAACGTGACTCCTTCAATTTTTAGAATCGCGATATCACAGGAATGGTGATTCTTAGAAAAAAAAATATAAGAACCATTTTTGCAGATAATTTTAAGATCTATAATTTTTGTCGGGGCTGCTTTGATAAAACTTCGAAGAAAATCCAAAAAAACCTCAAATTTTGACCTTTGACCCCGAATAACTTTTTTAGCACGCATGGGATCGATGGGGACTTTTGACACTTTATTTCTAATGGTGTACCCAAGGGCTCCACCAAAATTTAGCTCTGTCGGAATTTTCGTTATTTGACCACTATTTTTATGACTAATTTGACCGGACTGTAGTACCTGCGAAATAGCAGGTTGCTCTCTGCCAGTTTAGTATTTTTAATGTCTAGTCATTGTGTGGCGCTGTTAACATCTCATCTATAAAATCATTTTTTTTACTTTTTTACCTTTATTTCCTCAGTAATAAGTGACTTCTCTGTAGCAAAAAATTATGAAATGTGTTTACCACATTGAAATAAAAACTTCCAATATTTCAGAGATTTTGTAAAAACTTATGTACTCTGTACAAAGCCATACGTTTTTGTTGAAACACATTATATGAAGTATATCACACAGTTGCAGAAGACAAAGCAAGTAACATTGCCACTGCCAAATATTTATCAAATTCCCATATTGCATCAACTGTCAAATAAAACAGTACACGTATTACGTATCATAGTTCTCGCACCAATTGTGCCAAATCAATTCAGTGATGATATGTTTTAAATACTTGTCTCATATGTCACTCTAGAACACATTTGACCATAAACTAATAGACTGACCTGACAGGGCGTAATATTTGTTAAGCTTGTGAACAGATATAAATGGGAATAATGGAAGGGTAATATTTTATGATATTTATGATGATGTTCGAACTTTTTTCCATTCCGTGAAGCTCAATTATTAATAAATAGGTATTTAGGTAACTAATCTAAAAAGCGGTTAAAATCGACATCGAAGGCTGTCTGAGTATGCCCATATGTAAAAGGCCAAAGAACACTCCTTTGCATGAGTTAAATAAAATATTTTTTTACATTGTCTTTTAGTATATCAGCACGAAAATAATTTATCTGTAGCTGAAGAAAAGAATAGCTAGTAATTTCAAGGCTTTCATAGCCTATGCTCATTCATCCCTGGGATGACCATGTCACTGAGGAAAGGATTATATAGGTATGACAAAGAGATCGGTTATTCCAAGCCTTAAGACCCGACCGATCTAACCATCCTGAGAAACCCAACATGCCTTAAATGAAGGACAATACGTTTTCAAAACACCGAGGTACTTGTGAGAACGACATGGTAGATAACCCGGTGAGTTAGGAAACACTGGAAATAGAACAATAAGTAATATAAATTATGAATAAGTCTTTCGAATGAACAGAATCTGGTTATCCTTTGTAAAAGAACAAGACAGCAAGGTGGAGATACCTGATACACTAGTTTTAAAAGCATACATAACGGCACCGACGATACCAAAGACGACCATGGGAGCACACCCACTATCCTACAGTGCAGACTCGCAGATCGGGGCCACGCCCTTTACCCCACTCCACAGGATCAGAAGCGCGCGCGACTGTACTGATGTAATCGATGTAAGCGGGGTGTGTAACCCAACTCCCACTATTATAATGCGCAGGTCTAGATGTGCGATGTACCCCACGCCACAGGACTAGAAGCGTGACGTGAAGTGGTGATGCTGACGTAACTGGGACCAGAGGCCTACTTTTGAAAGTACTTTTCAACTTTTCACTTTTCATTTTACAAATGTAGAAAACCGAAGAGTAAAGTCTTATAAAAAAATGTACATTACATAAATATAATGCGTTTTAAGAAGCTTCAGCTTTTCGTTTACACTGTGCAGATTACCAACTTTTGAATAATAATTTTGAAAATAGCAAATAGCTAGAAAAGTTAAGAGTATGTAGTGAAAAGTTGAAAAATACATACAAAAAACAGGGCTCAGGTAACGACACCAACACTATAAGACCAATGACGAGGTACCAATCAGCTTAAGTAAATATTGCGCATCAATTGCGTAGAATTCTCATTGAAGCAAAATTTACAACACGTTAAGGGAAAACATTTTTTTTGTTACAGTCGTCTTCTTTACATAATCCGAGTGTTAATCCCTAGTTTCGTAGCCTAAGATTTAAATTCTAAGGCTACCGTGTCGATATATTTGGGTTATGTAGAGATCTGTAATTTATATCGGGGGGGATCCCTGAAAACCTTATAAACTTTTAAACGTCCCAATATTGTAGACTCACACCAAGGACCAGAGGCCCTTCCATATAAAACGTTAGATTGAATGGCGCTGAGGAGGCACAAACAATTTTTTCCTTCTTCGTTTATCCTTCGCTGGCCAATCCTGTGGAGGAACGGGATGTTTGCATTCTTATTTTCCGGTTTGTTCGCGTCATGGAAAAAGTAAATACCGACATATCTGACGCATATTTTATTCTGCCGCATAGTCCAGTAGCTTTAAATATCACATGTAATTACATGGTAATTCATTCAGAATGTCATTAATTTTAAGGGAAGATAGGGAAAACTGAGTAGAATACGAATAAGCCATTAAAAAATATTTTCAAATCATTATTTAACCCCTTTTCGGACCGCTCCTGACCCCTGACCCACAAAGATTTATCATGAGAGAATCTTGACCTACCGTATTATTCGGTCACTAACCTAGTTTTTACTACGTTTTTAATGTATAGTGAACGACAAGGAAAAAACAGATCTTTTTACTTAGACTCATGAATGAATAAGATATTTTTTGAATTTTAAATATTAAGAAGTATTATTTATTTATTAATAGAAACAAATGTATAAAGATAATAACTGTTTTCGAATGTTAGGTTAACAATTTAGTATTTTTTTAATATTGTCAACGTCTTCACTGTTTTATAATTGAATATGAGTTTTTAGTCTATTAATTATTCAGTTTGTAGTACGTATACCTTATTGCGCGTCTTATTGCTTTTCAAAGAGTAGTATGGTACCTACCTATTTAAAATATCAGAACGGCTAAAATAACACTCATCTAACCACAGCACTTTGTTAAAAACGTTGGTATCCCATCTGATTTTGAAACTAATTGCAAAATTGAAGACGACTGAGGAAACCAGCTGTTTCGCTTCAATGTTCGAACGTTCTGTGGCCGCCACGCCGACGCATTCCCGGTCAGAAAATGTGAGAGCGCCGAGTTAAGGGGTAATTTGCTTATCTTTTAAAAGGTCGAGTAAAATTTTTTCTTCCATTTTCTATCTTTATTGAGCCTTCCGTATACGTGGTTAAAATTAATTATATTATAAGTGAATCACCCTGTATATCTTGGAGGCTTTGATAACAGCCTAAAGGCCGTTTTCATCTTTCTTTTCTGCATAACGTCGGTTTTCAAATCTCTACCAAATCTTCTTCACTTACGTATCTATTACTATTTTACCTCCCATTTCTGATAATGCAGTAACTACCAAGAGAAGTTGTGTATATATTTTTTCTGAAATAATACACTGGGAACAAGAATAATATCAAACATTATATAAAACCTTTTATTTTCTACAATTTCATTTTGTACGAATATATTGCTTAAAAACTAAATGTATTCCAAACCTTCCTTGCTTTCTGGGATAGGAGAGAGGGCAGATACAGGATCAGTCGAATGTGCTGGTGACGCTGTAGATTTTAAATGATCTGGATGAGCTTGAAAGAACTGCGACGCGTTCTGACCCTGCGCATGTTGGATGCACTGGGAATGCTGTGAAAGAGCAGGATCGAAAATGGTAGAACTAGATTTCTGATCGTAGTAGCCACTGTCGGCGTTGAAGAGAACGGTCATAACCGCCTGCTGAACAGCGCTTTGTACCAATGGAGAATACATTCTCATCCTTTTAGACACCAGGTTGCCAAAGAGGTGGCATATGTCTTCTTCGTCCGTTTTGGATGTAGATGCAGACGATGAAGTTGGATTCTTATTTAATGGTCTGTCGTCTACGTCACTTGTCTTGCGTTTTTTATTTATGGACTGCCTCAACCTTGGTTCATCGTCAGTCGTAGTGTCTTCACCGAGAGGATCTTCCAAACGCTGTTTCTGAAAAGAGAATACATTCAATTTTTTTAACAGATAATTACAGATACCCGCAGTAGCCGCCGAGGTATCCGAGATATTTCTTATATGAATTCTATGACTAATTTTAAGCAAAAATTATTGTCTTCTCTTTCCTGAATTCGCAACGGTTCTTGAAATATCGGGGTTTGAAGTTGCCAAGTCGTATGGATAGTTGCTAAAGAGTAAATTACATTGTTGCGATTAAAGGGCTTAGAAAAAAATGTGGTTTATTTTAATAAAAGCATAATGACAGTTCCATAATGGAACGGAACACCATCATTTAAAAAGAACAACGTCCTTCTGATTTGAAGACGAATGTCCTGAAGTAGTAAAGACGGATCGTTCTCCCATTATTAATTATTCCAGTCCAAATGTTTACGGAGAATGTTCTCTGAAAATAGGTTTCTCGAATAGCATGAGATTTTTCGATTGCCCACACATAATCGTTGTGGAAATTGTTGCTTCCATGTCTGGTAAATGAAGCTTTGTCACAGAAAAGAGTTCTTGAAAGAGTATCCAGATTATTGCTACACCATTCACAAAGACGGACTCTTTGGGGAAGATCCCTGGAGAGAAATTCTTGTACCGGTTGGTATTGATATTGATGCAGTCCGTTTTCTTGCAAACTGTCTTGCACAGCCGTCGTACTTTGTTCAGTAAGTACAGAAATTCTTCTTATACTAGTACAAGGATCATTTTCAACAAGCTAGCTCTTCTGCAGCATTGTTTCTTCGCATAATTTCCCTTCCACAAATCGGTTTAGCGAATGCATATGTTAATCGAGGAAGAGTGTAGGTTCTATTGAACGTTTGCTGGTCTGGAAGACGGCAACCAACAATTTTTTTCTAATCCCAGCCAAGATGCTAATTAATAAATTAGCTAGCGCTCTAGTGGCAACAATGTAATGTACTCTTTAAGAACTACCTATACGACCTGGCAACTTCAAACACCGAAATAACAAAAACCGTTGGGAATTCGGGGAAAGTGAATGGAATAATTTTTGCTTAAAATTAGTCGTAGAAATATCTCGGATACCTCGGCGGTCTTAATTCTAATTTGTTAATAAATCAAGGAAACTAAGATTACAGAAAAATGTAATTAGTAGTAGTTCATAGACTTCATTATTGAATAAGCAAACAAATTAAAATGATTTGGATGTTCTTTAAGTTCATATCACAGCTTCAGGAGCTCAGGAGATTCCTTTGATAATTTAAATCAAAATGCCTTCATGAACCAAGAACCTAAAATAACTCGTTTTAAGGATACAGATTGTTGGAATTAAAACAAAATTATCACATTATAGCCAATCTCATAATTGATGTGATAAAGCCTCTTTAGGTAAAAGTTTTCTTTAAGCTAAAGTATACTTTAAGTGATCATATAATGTCACTCGATGTCATAATCAATTTTAAAGTATTTATAGCTAATGTTTTTTTCAACTGTTGTTGGCTAAAGTAAATCTAGAACAAATTTGATTTGAAGTGTCTCAGTTGTCAGTTAGCGTCATTACTGACATCTGGCTTGTCATTTTTTATTTATTTAAAAATTTGATTGATCAAAGCATGGCAACTTGATTTTAAGAATTCGATTTTTACCTTCTGCATTTTTAAAACACATATAACCATGTTAATAATTTCGTCACTTTCGTAAGTAATTAACAGTAGGACAAGAAGGAAAATTAATGACTGCAATTTAATACCATTGCACAGCACCACAAAAAAAAAGATATGTACCAGATACCTGAGCATATAGATGATGTGTATTTTTTAATGCTGAATCCGAATCCGCACGCCAAAAACGAATTTATCAGGTCATGTTTTAGTACAACGCTAAAATAACCCCTAAAATAGGGTAAAATAGTGAGGATAAAGTAAAGCTTTATAATGAAAAGCTACAATTTATAGTTACTTTGAGAAAACATTTTAAAATAATAATTTGAGCTTTGGAAAGAAATATATACGAACTAAATCTACATTCACCCTTATGAAGGTGTAAATTCAACGCCTAGGATTAAATAAATAATGTTATTGCAAAACAATATGAAAAACCATAGGCTTTTATTTTATACTACCAAATATATCAAAAATGTAGGTGCAAAGACAGCATACCAGAAAGAAATAATACAATTTATCCCTCAAAGGGTTAGAAACCATCTACTGTTCAGTATCACACTTATCCTTTTAAGTCACACATTTTTCTATTCAATATTTTTGCCTGAATTTTGTCACCACGGGTTTTTGGTGTCGCTGATTACGAATGTGAAGCCCGAATCCGAAAATTCTTGAATAAATCAAATAATACACACGATCTATGTACTCATGTCTCTAGTACAGAACTTTTCTTTATTTGTGAGGCTGTCATCATTATATTCTATCTATTTATATCAAATTTCAAAACAAATATTAAGGAAAATACTATTTTTTATGAATTCCAACACTCTGTATATTTATAAAGAGGCATTTTCGAACAAAGGTATATTTGATCCATTATCTTGTTTTGGCAACAAGTTTCAGTTAAATTTTTTACATCTATTTATACCTCACCCTGTATAAAATAAACTTAAAAATCACCCTGAATAAGTTTTCTCCTTGGAAATAATAAGCGTTAAATACACTGATCTAGCTTTCAAAATACTCAGTCCTATTAAGTCTCTACTAAAATTAATGACAGTACTTCGCATTATATTGATCACTGGTGAACTTGTTTTTCAATCAAAATAGTAAATTTTAGTATTTAAAATTATATCATTAGCCCATATTTCATTAATCTCAGGCCAATCTTCAAGGATATTTGAATAAATGTGATCTTTTTATATATAAGAACCCTGTATCTCCAGAACTAGTATACTTTAGACTTTTGGTTCATTTTAAACCAAAAATAGCTTTCCAATGTTGATACATAGACTTAAAAAGGACGTGGTTGAAGACAGGCTAAATCTGTCTCACCCTTGAACCACATTTTAAAACACTCTGTAGATCAACAGACAGAAGAATCGGCAGATTTAAATGTTAGGCCCTGTATGCGCCAAGAACAAATTTAATACAAACTTACATCTGTCGTCGTCTTCCAAGACTGATCCATATCCAAGAGAAACGACAGGCTTCTGAAGGCGAACCAATTGCTTACATACATCTCATCAGTTTCTGTACACAAGAAAAAACGAAATATTAGGGCACTTAAGTCAACAATAGGAGCTCCGAATAAATTTAATATCGCCGGATACCGACGAGAAAAAAAATAGAGAAAACTTATTTACCTCTTACTGCCGCTCGACTTTTCCTTATTTTAGATTTCTCCCTTCTCAGCGACGACTGCAGCGAGAATATCTTCCTCCGACATTCCTCAGTCGTCGCATTTATTTCCCCGGCGAGGTCTTCCCAAGCGTCTTCCTTCAAGCTCTTGTTGTAGTAATGCGGATGTTTGTGGTCCCACAATAATCTCTTCGCCTTGTACATGTCTATGAACTGCAACGTACGCTTTTCGTTCCACATAACTTCGAATTCTTGAACACGTACACGCTCACTTCTCGCAACGAAACAACGACTGAGGTGAGGAGCGAGGCGCGGCGCGAGGTACGGGCGAATGATACATGGTGCGTTTGCCATCCAACCACGCCTGCGTAACATGGCGAAGCAGACGCCCTTGACTCGTTCCGTTCTGATATTTTCGTTTGAATACCGATAAGCAGCAACGGAGCAGTGAAGCGGCGTGCCGTGTGCTTTGTTCGTGGCGTGTTTGTCGCAGCGGCGTAGGCTCGGGATTTTCATGCTTTCCCCAAAAAAATCAAAATCCCCTAATTCTTATTGTGCTAAAGACGAACCTGAAGATAGTTTTGTGCCTTGAATATAGTATTCGGGAAATAGTCCAGGAAAGTTGGACATAAAAAGGCGGAATAAGCGAACTTTTTTATTCTGAGATTTTTTTGTAGAAAAGTGTATGTATTGAGGTCAAAAAACACTCGTCAAACACGCAACCATCAGCAACATACAGCGTTTTGAGATATATACAGGGTGTTTCAAAAAGATATGCAAATATTTTAAGGAGGTATTTAGAAAGTAATCTTAGGGGGGTACTTCAAATACTTTTTTCGATTTGAGAGAATAATCTCTTTTGGTAGCTTTTTTCTGGTTTATGTCTTTGAATTAAAGAAATTAGCACCCTTTGGTTTTATTTCTCTCAGAACTTTTTTCTACGTTAGCAATTCTAAAAAAAATCTTATATAGTTTTCCGAGGTTTAAATATTTATGAGCATCAATCGTATCATTTTATGTCTTCGATGGTGTACATTACGAATTAATTATGCGCTTTTGGATATTTTTCAGAAAAACCTGTTTTCTTTGAAATTTTTTTGTGACAGCAATGAAGCAGTTTTACTTAAGAAACCTAAATATACAGAAGTCCAGAAAAAATTGTTAAACATAATAAATAAAAAAAATTGTTTTTTAATTTTGAATAAATTAAAAAATATACAGGGTGTTCCGAATTTTATTCAAGAAACTTCGAGGGCAGATAGATCTCTTTAAAATAATATGTGTTTGCCTTATACACATTGGTCTGGAACAGCCCCGTTTTAGAGATACAGGGTGTTGAACTTGTTAAAAAAATATATTTTTTGTTTATATATCTCCGGAATCTACTACCCGATCTCAATAAAATTTGGTACAGATAATCTATGATGTTAGGCCTTGCATTCCCTGAAATATGAGCTCTAAAGGTACAACCAGTGGTGTACAACTGGGCAGGGACCGGGATCATTTCCTTTTTATAAAAAAAAAACCTACGCCACAGCATTTTTTACACGTTATTGTAAAGGATTTACATTCTAATGCACAAAATACGTAAAAAAGGTAACTTGAATTTTTTCCTAATTTGCCGTTTTCAAGTTATTCATACCAATACCTTTGTGCTGACATGTCTAATCATAATATTGCAATTATTATATTTATGTTTATGCTTAAAGTAAATGGAATTTATAAGCACATCAACAAAATTCTTCTTCACTCGTTTCCACACCACCTGTGAGGTAGAGTTCCTTACGCGTTTTGGTTTCCCCTGGAAGCCCAACCCATTATCTTTACAAATAAGAACAACTTAAATCAAAATATTAATAAATGTCCATTTATCAAAGGCGAATTTTCACAATCTGCATAATTGGTCATAAGAAAATCCTCGTGAAATTCGGCAAGATCTTTTCAACATGAATTTTCTTCGAGCGTATAGCTCGGAATAATTCGCAATAAACTTTGTGGGTCTTTCTTCTTGCCACCCCGTCTAAATTCCTAGTCATTTCCAAACTTTCTAGAAAATCATCTCTTTGAATTAGAGAGAATTATTATAGGATGGTCCATTAAATATTCGACAAAATAGCTGGATACAATGGATGGTGCTCCTGGGCATTCTGGGAGAATAATATAAGAATGTCTTAATGAAAATTATATGGGGCGATGGATAGGTAGAAGACCAAATGCCTACGTCAACCATAATGGTGCAGAGGGTCCAGTGTCTTGGCCAGCCAGATTGCCATATCTAAATCCCCTGGACTTCTATGTTTTGGGTGATCTGAAAAGTAAAGTTTATTCTACTCCAACAGATACAAGACCACAACTACTGCAACGAATAGAAGACGGGTGTAATGAATTAAAAGAAAACCACCAAATGATATTAGCTTTAATTAATTCCATTAATAGAAGATGTCAGAAATGTATCGATGTGGGTGGTTCGCATTTTGAACAATTGTTGTAAATAAGTAACGTTAATTTTGTTTCTTGTTTAGTTGCTGTTACTTGGTAAATATATTTTTATTATACAGGGTGTCTCGTTCATGTTTCAAAAAAACTTGTGTGCAAGTTCCTCATGGTAAAATAATAGGGTTAGGTCAAATTTTTTTCTTAGAAGCCCTGTTTTCGAGATACAGTGTGTTGAAATTGTTACTTTCTAAATGGTTCTCCTTAATTATCTTTAAATCGGCTAAAGATAATAATGTCAAAACTTGTACACGAGTAAACATCAACTGAAAAGCAGTGTCGCCGATACAAGTAATTGAAGGGGTACAACCGAAGAAAAAACATGTTAAAAGTCAAAATTTATTACATTTCTAAACGGTTCTACAAACTCTAAAGGATACTACAAAAAAGCTATACTTGTCGAAATTCGGTAGCATATACCATTTTCTAAAAAAATAAAGTTGCATTTTTTTGCTCACATAAAGCGGCACAAGTACTAATAATAAATAAGTAATATTGAATTGAATGAGGACCTTACCATTGAATGAGCTGAAGACATTTAGCTACCAACAGTATTTGCATTTAAGATATAATTTTAATTTCTTTCGTATCACATGAAACAGTTAAATTGTAAAACATTTCATTAACTAAGAAAAAAAATAAATTTATTGTAAGTTTCAGTTCGTTGTAAACTAACATTTAAAAAAGTAAATCAAAATAAACAGATTATGGTAATTAATTACCTATTATTAACTAATTTTAGATTTTGTAAACTAATACACTGCCATTACTAAAATAAAAATTTTTGAATGGACTGACTGAATCGTTGATGGACATGAATGCTTAAAAAAATGATAAAAACAGAAAAATATTAGGAACCAGACAGAGACATACAGAACAAAACAGCTGCACAATTAAATAAATATGCAAACTCGAAATACTACAGTAGATACTGAAATTGTCCCCTATTTCCCCTATTTCCAAGACATGTATAGCTTTTTTGTAGTATTCTTTAGAGTTTACAGAACCGTTTAGAAATGTTATAAATTTTGAATTGTAACATATTTTTTTTCGATTGTACCCCTCCAATTACCTGTATCGGCGACACTGCTTTTCAGAACCGTTTGCACATTATTCTTAACGCACAGTTAATGTTTACTCGTGTACAAATTTTGACATGTTTATCTTTAGCCGATTTAAAGATAATTAAGGAAAGCCATTTGGAAAGTAACAACTTCAACACACTGTATCTCGAAAACAAGGCGTCTAAGAAAAAAACTTTACATGAACTACTTTTTTTTAATATGAACCTGTACCCTGTATATTTCTCAAAACGCTGTTATGTTGCTAGTGGTTGCGTGTGTAACACTTGTTTTCTGACCTCAAAACTTACACTTTTCTATAAAAAAAATCTCAGATTAAAAAGTTCTCATTTTTTCCGTATTTTCCTGAAGTAAAAACAATATTTACAATTATTATAAACTTATAATTCACACAACAATCGAATTATTGCATTTAAAACATTATGGAGCCTACAGAAATGTAATGCACATATTATTACAAATCTAATAAGTCTCTGGAAACATATTTTTAAAGGATAAAAGTATATTTGTTTAATCTATTATTATTCCTACTGGTTAACTGCTCACGAAAAGCATGGTTTTGTTGACTTATTAGACCAAGTCCATTAAATTTTTGACGCCACCGCTGTTTTTGTTTTATATCCTTTCCAGTTACATTTTTGATGGCAAAAAAAAACTGACACTCTCGAAACTATACCCGGAATTTAAAATTCGTGTTTCCTATCAAGCTACAAACTATTTCCGGTGGCGAATAAAAAATTTAGGCTTTCGAAACTGATCGCTAATTTCCTCTGTAATACCCTTGCATTTTTAAATATTTCCAAATTTATCTGCATAGCAGCCCCGTTAATAATTAATAACTTTCGGGGTGTGCATTATTCCACTTTTGCAGCAATTCAATAGGTCGGCGCTATTCCTGGATGAATAATTCAGTTTATTCGGTATTCATGTTCGGCTCTTCTAATAAATTACTTTATTTAAATGATCCCGCACCGGTACAGATTCGGGCCTTCTATTTTTCCAACGCTTGATGGGTGAATTTTTTCCAAACAAAAACGAAATTTGCAAATAAAATTATCAAGCAGGGTTTTTATCCCGTTTTCCTCGACGACGACCTGTGTGATAATGTATAAAAAGAATAATATATTCTTTCTTGATGCCAAAATCGATAAGTCTTATACAGAGCGTCATCGACATTACATACTGTACCTACTTTTTCATAAACGTCGTTAAAGTTTATAATAAAAACTATTTACAATTCTTAATGCAGATGTTTAAGAATGTCATGTATCTAAATGTGAAAATTTCTAAACAAACTCGTTTTTAATTTCTTAAATATTTTTGTTCAAAAGATTGACCTAAAATATACAACAGGTATTCATCGTTTTTTGTTTTTCGATCATCTTGTACAAAAATACAATGTATTTCATTTATAGTTTGTGCATTAGAAAGATTTTTTAACAGATTTAAAAACAAACAATGGATTTTATGACTGTGATATAAATAAACATTTTCAGCTTCCTTAAAAGAAAAACTTATCCGAGAATCGTCGTATTTGCGTTGTTAAATATACAGGGTGTTAATGAACTTACGTCAAAAATTTAAAGGGGTGAAAGGAACAAAAACTGAATTAACTGATGTCACAAACTTGTATCGGAAATTTAACATCATAGAGAAAAAGGCTAATTAAAAATGTATTTAAAACTGTTTTGGAACTGCTGAA